ATGAAAACATATCATTAGAAAATGAACAAGCTCAATCAAAAAATGATTTTCGTACAAAATTATTTTTTTCAATTTTAGACAAAATTATTAACGAGTTAGAAAATCGATTTTCCATTAATTCCAGTATTTTGTATGCTATTGATTATCTACATCCAAAAAATGCCAATTTTCTGAGCTATGATGACCTAAAACCTTTAGCCCAACATTATAAATTGGATACAAAATTACTAAAATCAGAACTTAAAATAATACCAAACACAATAAAAATTTACCAAAAAGAAAATCAAATAAAAATCACAAATTTGATGAATTTTGTTGATTTATTGGAAAAATATAAAATTGTTTTTAATGAAACGTACAAGATGGTTATAATCTCTATTACAATTCCGGTATCAAGTGCAGGGTGCGAAAGGACTTTTTCTTGCCTAAGGAGACTTAAAACATACATGCAAAATAAAATGACGGATGAACGCCTATCAAATTTATCTATGATGAGCATCGAAAAGAAGATAGCAAAATCTCTGGACTTGGAAGAAGTTGTAGATAAATTTGCTATAAATCATAATAATCGAAAAATTATTTTAGTATAGACTATTTTTTTAAATTGTATTTATTTTAACATATATTTTATGTATATATTATTCATATACATTATAATCATTATATATAAGGTTTATATAATATTAAGATAAAAATTATCTAATTTATTTGTTTATCAAATTTAGTTCTTTTTGTACCTAATTACATTAATTATTATATTCAGAAATTACAATTTTATTATATTATAAACAATATACCTATACATAAACATAATTCTATAAGTGTCTAATGTGGGGCCGTGGAGGGAAGTAAAACTGTTGGCCACTCAAGAAAAATATTTGCCATAACTGTGCCACCCTAATTATTTAATCCTAGCTACGTGCCTGGACTGTCTTGTAATTAAATCAGGTCTAGGACCACACTTTGAACTAAGGTTATTTAAAGCATTGAAAACTTCGATTAAGGGGATTCCACATTATCGCTTATAGAGTAAAATAGACCTATACGCGTTCCAACGTACCAACTTGAGTTTTACTCCTATAATAATTTTAAAAACATATTTGAATTTATTATGAAATCTATTTTGAATCCTTCGAATCAGAATCATAAAAAAAGAATTTAAAAACTATTTATATCCATTTAAATTTTTAAGAATATAAAATTTTTTTTCTAAATTTCAAGTGAGGTTTTTTCTTTTTAAGAATAATAAATTAAAAATGTGGCTCGAAGGATCCAAAGTTGATTGAACAACAAAACAAAATTTGTTTTCAAAATTATTATAGGAGTAAAACTTAAGTCGGTATGTTGGAATTCGTTTAGGTCTATGATTTACAATATTTCGTCATGAAAAAGATTCGTTGTTGGACTTTATGTGACATGTGCATGCGAGTGCGCAACGCTTATCTAGCTCGCCGCCGCCGTTGCGTACGTCGCTAATGAACTATCGGAAATCTAAATATAATAATATGTTCATATAAAAATAAAAATATACTACAATCCGATTATTACCGATAGGCGATAATGATCGAAGATAAAATTATTGCCGCCGTCGCGGACTATATTATTATATTATATTGTGTACATGGCGCTCGCGCATTCACACTCAAATATAATGATTTACATTTACTTTATGTTATTATAATATTAGATGATATTGTCAGCCATCAAGTCGATTATCAGATCTTAATTTTTTAGTGCACCTATAATAGTAGCATATAGTTGTGTAGTCATATAGTTATAGTTGCACTTAGTTTTTGTAAATCCAAAAATTTTCCAATTTTTTAAAAATGGGAAAATTTAAAAAAAAGTGTTTGTCGAAACGAAAAAAAATGAAAGGCAATGTATTAAATTTCCAAAAGAAAATAATGGAGATATCAAACGACGGCTTAGTTGATTTGTAAGTTGATTTATATTGAATTATTTATTTTAAGTTTTGAGTGAAGCAAGTTTGTGTTATGCTATACAGTATGTCTCAAAAATCCTGTACGACCCCGAGGATCTCGACATTAACTCAATATTTTTGAATGAGGTTTTTTCGAAAATAAACCATGGTAAAAATTCCAATTTCAAATTTTTTGTTCAAAAATTTAAAATTGTTTTTGTTAAATTTTCATAATAGCTATTTTTTTTTACTTTTTTCCAAAAGTAAATTAAAAAAGCGTGGTCAAGTGAGTAACGCTTTGCTGTATAGTATGGTCACTACTAATGTATTAAATTTGAAACCAATGATAGGTATCACGATTCAGAACGGAGATAATGATTTATTGTCATCCTAAAATATATTTCCCAGTGGGTGGTGAAAAAGATGGTTTATGTTTTAATGATCTGAATAACCTTAAATTTAAATTCTTTTATAATTATTGTAAGCCAAACTTATGGAAAATCTTATATTAAACTTTCAACTCTTAGCTACTTATCGGTATACAAATTTTTTATAAATTTTAATTATAAAATAATTTGCAGATATTCATGATTTTGACGAATTTTTGTCAATCTTTGAACTTCAAATGCTATTAAAAAAAAATTGTGCCTAGTATTCTTACTTTTTTTTAATCACTATAAGAATAACTAATGAGGAACTTAGTATTATTGTATTATTAGTATGACCAATACGTAAAAGCGGAATAAATCATAACGATAATATACCGGCACAGTTTTAAATGGTCATTAGAGCGATCGTATTAGTCGTATTGATAAAGATAATAAAAATAATAATAGACGCGACACACTGCACGTCGGTAATCGGTGACGCGGTGGAACGATAGATGGGTTGCAGTGCAGGGAAGTCACTCACACTAATGATCATTTACTACACACAAACATACACGCTACGCACGCACGTATTTACAAAATGTCTAAAAATTGCCTATACTCAACTCCCTAAAAATGGTCGGTATGGAATCCCCGGTGATTTTACATGAAAATAAAGGCGCCAGCAATGAGTTATTCGGAGAAACTGCACTTAGATCAATATATTTTGAGTTATCATATGTTCAAAAACAATAGCAAAATGTTGAGCAAAGGCTTCAACAATAGAATTCGGAGAGTTAAATTTAGAATTATTTAAGTACATACAGTCAGGTAGAAATGTTTTTTTTCGTTTTTCATTAATAAATTTCCAAAATTTGGATGGTTGATGTTTAAAATCTTCCTGGATATTTTTTAAATAATTTTGGTAATTTAATTTAGAGAGAGCTTTACACTGGACACGTAAATTTGATAATTTATTATATTTGTTAATAGCACCAGTTTTTAATGATTTTATGAGCTATTTTCTTTTTAAATATTAAATTGTTTAGTTCAAAACCAAACCATATAGGATATTTTTGACGAGTTATTATTCTTTTTTGGAACAAATACATCAATAATTTCATAAATAATAGAATAAAAAAAATTTGTAACTTCATTTACATTAAGATTTGAAAATATTTCAACCCAACTTATTAAGCCTAAGCATTTAATGATATCAGAGTAATTTCACGAGTAAAAATCGTAAGTAAATAAATTATAATAAATTGGCTTATAAGTATTAATAGGAATAATTATAAGTAAAGATGGATGGTGAACATCACAAGGAACAAGAGGAGTCGTAAATTTAGAAACTGTAATATTATCAATATTAGAAAGAACTAGATCAAGAATGGTATTATTTTTATATAAAACAGTATTGAATTGGGATAAACTTAAAAATGAAATTTTAGATAGAAAGTCTACTGACAATTGATTTAAATTCAAATAGTTAGGTGAACAGGAAGGAGAAGTGAATTGCCATTTTAAGTTTGGCGTATTACAATCACCTACTAAAATTATATTTTTAACGTAGGGATAGGAAATTAATAGATCATTAATAATATCGAACTTTTTATTGTATAACGTTATAGGTGGGCGAGGAGGAAAATAAGTATTACCTAAAATATAGTAAATGAAATTAATTTTGACAATAACAAATAAATGTTCTACGGAACAAGGAGGTAACATACGAGAATAGAATTTATTATTTATTGCAATTAGGACACTACCACTTCTCGAACAATCACATATTGTATCTCAAATACTCAAAATAAATAATCTAAGCAGATGTGAATAATTTAAGTGGAAATTTAATTTATTTTAACAATTTTCTTTTAAATATGACAAACAATTAGAAATTTTACATTTTCATATGCGTTTTGTCGATCACCTGATGACCTTACGAACATTCTTCACATAGATCTACTTATAATATTTTACAGTATGACCTGTCGTATACGCCACGCAAAGGCTTATAACAGATATATAACAGATATATTTCGATTATTGAGTCTCAGGCCGTCAAAAAGTAAATATCGATACTTTTCGGTTAAAACTTATTAAATTCTCCTTTTGGTGACCACGATAACGAGTACGCTTCAGTACACACTAGGAATTGATTCTCTCAATTTACTTGGAAAAAAATGACAAAACAAACATTTTTTAGTTTAAAACCAAATTAGATTATAATAACTTCAAAGTCTCACAATAAAAAACACAATTTACTATTAAATTAAAACTTGTCGTTAGCCGCGACACTCCGCAATCATTTATTTTTGCCTCGTATGTAATTTATTGCGAACTATTAACTATACTAAGTTTCAAGCTATAATATTTTGTGATTATTCATATATAGAACAACAGACCGGTTTTAATTTTTTCAAAAATATTGGTTTTGAAATTTGAATTTGAAAATAAATAAATTTGAAATTCAGGTATTTTTTTGTTATTATGTTAATGATACTGTAAAGGTTGGATTGGAGAGAATTTTTTTTTAGGACGTTGGCGTCAATGAATTTGGAAACTTCATTTTTATCTCTTATCAATGAGGAGAACTTATCTAAGCCCTAAAAAAAACTTTTTAATTATTATTATAGTACGGGAAATTAATTTTTCTAAGACTGGCACAACCGATCTCTCGAAATTCGATTTTGGTGATAACTCGTTGTTATCAAAATCGGGAGATCTGTACCAGCCACAGATATGTATAATAAACTTATTATTATTATTATATATTTATTATACATATCTGTGGTACCAGCCCCATTCCGTAGCACGTGTACCTCCTTATCGCCGATCGTGATTTCGTGTTAATTATGTTTGGTGATGGGATTCATGCTATATAAATATATATTCTTTTGTCACGGGCGCTGCTAATTACCGTGTTGCGATCGCATTTCGACTATCGTCTGTACTATATTACACATGATATAATAAACTAGTATTATTTTACCATCATAATAGGCACCTGTCGCGAAGTGCATTTTCTGTACGTGTGTCCAACGACTTATCTGCCGGTACGATGTTAGAAGAGGACGTAAGAACCATCACCATCCACATGGATTCATTAAACGAACATCCATATTGCTCTCACGGTGATTACCAATTTCTTTTTAACTCTGTGCCATGGTCGGCCGAGACGTTGACGTTTCTTACGGTACCATTATTAAACTTGCCGTTAATGATAGAGATTCCAGTTCAGTATACTATGTGTTCAAACATCAACTCGTAATCTTAATTATTCTTTTCTCGAATAATGTGATAGTTTTTACTGACCATCTGCAAATATTCATTAACGTTATTATCATTTATCTCACGATTTAGAACATCAATTTTTTTGTATATTTCTCTGAGAAATACTTAATAAATTCTCTATTAATTTTTAGGTCCAACACTGTTGTTTTCTCGAGGAATTGACAACAAAAAGTTTTATGCTTGTTCAGCTCATAGAGAAAGAAAGAAATGTTCTTTCTTTGTATGGGAAAATCAACTTGAAAGTATTGGACAAAAATACTTGGATCAATATGAAAGAAATCCCATTGTTACAAAAATGACAAGATTTAAATTAGAGTCCAGGTAATGTGCTATGACAAATGATCTCTTAAAATGTTCATGAAATAACTTGCATGTATAAAATTATAGCAAAAACATGTTGATCGTGATATAAAAAACTATAAATAGAAATTAGTTTGAACAATTCATAACTTTTAAGTGATCTTTAGTTCTAAAATTATTTTATTTAAAAAAAAAAATTAAACCATTTTTTTTATTTTCAATAATTATAAACTTTAGTTCAAAAATTTATAACTATGTTATAATTGGGAATATTCTTAATTATTATAGTTTATATTAGTCATCTCTTAAAGGTATGAGGCTCATTTACATTAAATAAATAAATAGTATCATATTTACTCATAAAATTAATATTACAAAAATCATTTAACCATTAATGCGTACACCATTAAATGTTATAAATATATTTTGAAATTTAAATTTTGTCAAATTTAAAGTAAAAAAAAAAGTGTACAAATACTTCAATTACTTAAGTATTAGTTACATTTTAATAAATTTCTGATATCACAGATGGTAATTGTTTCGCTCATGTCTTTAGAAGTATACACCTGTTAATTTTTTTCAGATTTAATGAATTGAAAAAACTGAATCCAGAAGAAAGATGTTACTGTCAGAACTGTGGTAAATTATTTTCTAAGACACAAAAGGATTTGCATATAGATCATAGTGAAATGCTAATTGAAAATATTGATGACTTTAAACTGTCTCACCCTTCACAGGTAATAAATTATCTAATAAATTAATATATAATAATATTTAAATGATTTTTCTATTTTATGATAGTGTATTACAAATTATCTTCTATTGTTTTTGATGTTTTAATTTCTGTGTACAACATTCAACTGATAGTATTACATATACTATAATATACAGGGGATCACAAAGAAAAACTTAAAATTATCAAATTTGGTTTTTTTTCCTCAAGGATAGAAACTATAAATATTCTTATTTTAATTAAATTTATTAACTTTAATATTGTTTATTTAAAAAAAAAATTTGAAAATGTTAGCATTAAAACTTTTTATTTTCGTTAACTTTATGGTTTAATAATTTTTTTAATATAACAGAAAAATAGTGTTTGATATTATTTTATCTTACGTTCTAATAGTTTCAAAACATTATTATGTATTGACCATTACTTATTTTTAATTAAAATTGTCTAAATTCTATTAGTTATTCAGACCTCTTCAAGAATCAAAAAGTGAATCTCAGTATTTTTTTACTGAAAATACCATTGAAATGTTAACCAAAATGTTTCACTGTGTTGGTACAACTAATGTTATTTGTATCGGTGCTCCGACTATACATGAAAGAATATTACATAGCATACCTTCAATAAGTAGTATTTTACTTGATATTGATCACAGATATGTAAGTCATGTAATTCAAATTTTGTGTGATCAAAAAGTAGTTATTTTTATATTAATTTTATTTTCAGTTACAATTTTATGAGTGTGACCATTTTAGATGGTTCAATATGTACAACTGTCATGTGCTGGAAGAATGTGACTCTGATCTTGTGTTGGAAAATATTTTGACTCAAACAGATTCTACAGCTGTTTTTATTGATCCTCCGTTCGGTGGCAGACTCGAACCATTGGCTTATACATTAAACAAATTTGATCAAATTAGAAAAAAACACAACAAAAGCCTGTTATCAAGTAAAAAAATTTTATTTTTAATTTAAATTTTCTATTTGAATCAATTTTTAATGGTGTTATTTACCTTTTAGAATTTTTGGTATTGCCTTATTTCATGGAACGTTTTGTCATCAAATGTATACCTGGAATGTCAATGCTGGATTATAAAATTGACTATATAAATCATAAAAAATTTAATAGTACTGGTTAGTATTTTACTATATTACTAATATGTCGTTTTTCAGTCATAATCAATATTACTGTGGATTTATTTTTATATAGGCAGAAATAAAGGGTCGCCAATTAGAATATTCACTAATGTTGATCAGTGTAAAATATCATTACCAGTAGAAGAAAATTATAAATATTGCGATGAATGTAACCGGTGGGTTTGCTCTGATAATGAACACTGTTACAAGTGCAATAGTTGTACGTCAAAGGTAAAAGAAAATGAAATTAAGATTATAAATTTCATATTTATGTTTGTATTTATAGTTATTATTTATAATAATAAATCTTATTTCACAGAATGGTCGCAAGTACATACACTGTAATTTATGTAAGAGGTGTGTAAAGCGAACGTGGAAACATTGCAAGAAGTGTAACAAATGCTGTTTATTAGATCATAGATGTAATAGATCACTAAATAGGGTTAGTACTGTTTGATTAAAATTGGATTTTTTTATTTAATCTTGTATAATATTAATGTAAATAATTTGTTTAAATAAGTAAAAATTGTAATTTATAATAACAATTAAGTAAGACAAAAAAAATTATGTACCTACCTATTTAATGTTATCGTACAAAACAATTATATGTAAGGTATATATTATTATCTTATAGGTTGATATATTTTTAACAAAAAGTGAGATTAATACCTATAATCAGTTTTTATTATCAATATTTAATTATCATTACTTTTTTCATTCAAGTTTCATATTTAAGAAGTATTTAAGATAAATAACTTTTTACGCTCTAACAAAAACAAAAATATCTATTACGAAAAATAAATTAATGATTAAAAAGTATTTATTTAAGTAGTTATTAGTCTATTATTTCTTAAACTGATAATCTAGCTTTGGTTTAACAAAAAGTTTTTCATTACATTTATGGGCAATCAACAATTAATCAACTTTTTTTTCGTGCATATCAGTCTTGTGATACGGTGCTCTCTACTACTTTTTTTGATTTCTATTGTTGCAAGTGGGTTTGATGTATAAGTTTGTTTCTGCAGTGTAGTACTTTTTTCGCTTTGTGCATTGGGAGTCACTGTTGTTTCTGTTTTTTATGTGTTTACCTTTTAAAAACGGAATCAAATCACCTCAATCAGTGAGTAAATTTTGTTTTGTTTGCCAAATCAGTGTTACTATCTCTAGTGTTATCACAAATTACTCTAACAGCTGTTTTATTCCGGTGACTTAAACGCTAAGCCATAAAGATCAATACCTCAGTAAATTTGTCAATTTTATTCCATATACACTGCCCCTTAATATTTAGTATTCAACTGCTAAATATTTATCTACTTCGTACGCCGTATTCACTTATTTCACAAACATGGAAGATAAACTTGATACTCTAATTAAATCTGTAAATGATTTAAAAACTTCAAATAATAAACTAGTGTCTTCAATCAATTCTCTATTTGATAAAGTAGCAACTTTAACAAATAAAATCAATAGTCATTCCACACAATTAAACACTTTATCTATTGAACTAACCTCTTTAACAACTAAAGTGGTAACCCTAGAAGCTAATATCGCATCGTCAAATATAAATTCATCAGCCTTAATTAACGACAATTTAATATCTGAGATGATCGACAGACAATCACGACGAAATAATGTGTTACTCTTCAATTTACCAGAAGCTCCTAATGACTCAACCAACACAAGTTCGGATCTTACTTCTATTCAAAACATACTTGATTTTCTTAATTTAAAATCCAAACCAAATTCTGTCACTTGTCTGGGCAAACCTTCTTCTTCTAATACTACCAAACCTCGACCAATAAAATTACATTTCTCGGATCAAAAAGATATTTTTGAATTATTCTCATGTCAAAATAAATTAAAATCAAACTCTACCTGGAAAGATCTTCGCTTCTCTTCTGACCGAACCAAACAGCAACAAGAATACATGTCACACCTTCGCCAAGAACTTCTAAACCGTCAATCTAAAGGAGAACAGGACCTCACCATTAAATACATCAAAGGCACCCCAAAAATTATCAATTCAAAAAACTAATTTCCATTCACAATATATTCAATTGCTACTACCAAAATGTAAGAGGTCTTAATACTAAATTAAAATTATTAAAAACCAATATAGATTTCTTAGATTTTAATATTTTAGCTTTTACCGAAACCTGGTTACATAATAACGTTAGCTCACTTGAACTAGGTCTCGTAAACTACGAAATTTATAGATACGATAGATCATTATTATCTAGCTCGTCGACCAGAGGAGGAGGTGTCTTAATAGCAGTGAATAAAAAATGTGTCTCCTCACAAATTGATATTGATGTAAAATCGCTAGAATTATGCTTTGTCTCTGTAAAAATTAATAACACTAAAAATTTAATCGTGGGTTGTATCTACTTTCCGCCAAATTCCCCTTCTTCTTTGTATAATGATTATTTCTCTATTTTGGATAACCTAATTTCTTCTTGCCCAAATGATGATCTTCTACTTTTCGGTGATTTTAATTTGCCAAATTTAAATAAAGCATCATTAAATACTAACTTAAATCTATCCTCTCCTGAAGCTATTTTTTTAGAAAACCTATCATTTCTTAATCTTTTTCAAATAAATACAATCTTCAATAGTTATGGTTCAATACTGGATCTTATCTTATCCAATTCTAATTCTCATTCTATATCTCTAAGTAAGGATTCTATAGTTCCAGTAGATAATTATCACCCTCCTATTAATGTCAGTTACTCTCAGCCCTACACTCCCTCTCCGCTATCTTTTTCTGAAGAAACATATGACTGGTATAAGGGAGATTATATAAATATTTTATCTTTCCTTGGTTCAATAAACTGGAACGAATTTTTCAATATTAGTAATGATATTACAACCATCACTGAAGAATTTTATTCCCTCCTATTCTATTCAATTAACACTTTCATTCCAAAAAAAAATTACTGCAAATCTAAATTCCCCTGTTGGTTTTCTAAAAACTTAATAAATCTAATCAAATTAAAAAAATTCCAACATTCAATATTTAAGTTATCTAACTCACATGATGATTACCAAAAATTCTCTTCCACACGTGCTCAATGCAAAACCTTGGGTAGATTTGATTACTCCAAATACTTAATTAATATTCAAAAATCTCTTAGATCCCAGCCTAAAAAATTTTGGTCTTTTATTGAAAATATTAAAAAATCATCTGGTCTTCCTAACTCAATGTCATTCAACCATAAGACAGCTGATAATGGTTAAGAAATTGTTGACTTATTTAGTCAATACTTCTCTTCAGTTTATAAAGATATAACTCCTACTAATATTAATTTTCAATCTAATGTAGTTCAATCAATTGATTCCTTAAACTCACTTCACATCGAACTCCTAGAAGTTTTTAATGAATTAAATATTCTATCTTCCAAAAATGCAATTGGTCCTGATGGTCTCTCTCCTATATTTTTATTTAACTGCAGATTTATACTCTCACCACCTATCACATATCTCTTTAATCTTTGTTTAAACAGTGGCTCATTTCCATCAACATGGAAATCCACCTATATTAATCCAATTCTTAAAAAAGGTAATAAATCATTTATCTCAAACTATCGTCCTATATCTATAATCTCTATTCTCCCAAAAATATTCTCTAAAATAATAAATAATAAGCTCACACCCATATTTAAACATATTTTAGCACCACAACAACATGGATTTCGCAATAAAAAGTCATGTCTTACTAATTTAATAACTATTAAACATCATATAATTAAATCTTTTTGTAATAATCAATAAACCGATGTTATTTATACAGATTTTGAAAAAGCCTTCGATAGAGTAAACCACTCTTTATTAATCAATAAACTACAGGAAATCGGCTTTGCAAATCCTCTATTATCATGGTTTAAATCATTCCTAAGTCAGAGAATCCAATTTGTCAAATATAAAAACTTTATATCAACACCTATATACGTAATTTCTGGTGTCCTTCAAGGCGACCACCTTTCCCCTCTCCTTTTTAATTTATTTATAAATGATGCTGTATCATCCATTTCACATTCCAACATTTTGTTATTTGCCGACGATGCAAAAATTTATAAATCTATTACTTCTCTCGATGATACTAAACTTTTACAAAGTGATTTAGCTTCATTTAACGAATGGTGCATTTCAAATAGTCTTTCATTAAATATTGATAAATGCCAAATTGTTACTTATTCCAAAAAAAACAATCCCTTACATTCTAATTATCATATATGTAACATTAACCTACATCGTTCGTCATTATTTAAAGATCTTGGGATTTTATTTGATTCCAAACTATTATTTAATGCTCATGTATCAGCGATTAAAAACAAAGCTTTATCGGTATTTGGTATGATAAAAAGAAACTGCTCCGATTTTCGTGATCCACTTGCTCTAAAATGCCTCTATACCTCACTAGTCTGTTCCTTATTAGAATACGCCCCACTCATTTGGAATCACAACAATGTAGGACATAATGATCAACTTGATAAAGTTCAAAATAAAGCTCTCAGATTTTTATGTCATAAAGGTAATATTCAAAGAACTCCTCACTCTGGCTACGATGATATTTTAAAATTGTTGAATTTAGAATCTCTAAATGTACGAAGACACTTATCATACAACACGTTCCTCACCAAATTGCTAAATAACGAGATTGATGATTCATTTTTATTAAGTCAATTCAATTTCAAAGTTAATAGCCACCACACTCGTAACAATCATTCATTCTATATTCCTCATTCTTCTAAAAAGTTTACGTCATACGACCCCATAAATATTTTAATGTCCTCGGGAAATAGTTAATTATATTATAAAACATTGAATTTATTTTTATTATCATTGTCGTTGTTATTATTATTATTGTTGTCATTATCATTGTTATTATAATTATTATTATTATTATTGTTCGATTTATTAATCTTTTCATTTTTTATTATGTTATGTTTTACTATTTTGAATTGTATTATGTTATTGTTATCTTACAAATATATTGTGAACTGGACTTTTGTCCGTATAAATAAATAAATAAATAAATAAATAAATAAATAAATAAATTATCTTGAACTATTTTTCCAAAATTAAAAATAAATTTTATTTTAGTTTTTACAAAATTGTAATAGTAATAAAAATTAATTTTTTGGCATTACATAAAATATAAAAATAATAAATTTCTTTATTAAAAATACTATTCCATTTAATTTTCTCTCCAAAAATTGAAAATGCTTGTAGCAGCCTAGATAAATTACAGTTATGAAGAATAGTTTATAAAAACTAAAATAGGTACTTAATTTTATTTTATTTTTTATTCGTCTATCTTAAGTGATGACAAATTTTCATACATAAAATTGATCCAATGGAAATTTTATTTTTAGTATTATTTTATTTAATTTGAATTTATTCTTTTTTACAGATTGAAGAACAAATGGAAAAATAAATCATCATCTTCGACATAAAAATGTTAATTATATTAAAGTTATGGATGATTTAAACATAGAAGTTTTTTTTGTTTAATAATTGAAATAATGAATTTAATTTTGATATAACTAAAGAAGATTATTTTAATAATTGTATTATTATTATTATTATTTTATTATTATTATTTTAATCTTTAGAATGTAACCCTAGTAAATTGCAACAAGAAAGTTATAACTATACCATAAGCACAATTACATACCATCTTCACTACAAATTGAAAAATACACTAACTTATCAATACATTACAGGTTACATGAAGATTTTGAATAACACTGTTAAAATTTTCTGGAATGGGGAAATATAAAAAGTACTTGATCGTTTAAAAATTTCTATAGTATTTAGTATATTTGCGTACAATGGGGAAAATGATTTTGACTATTATACCTGATTATAAAGGTGGCTACATACGTAACTGCAAGCTTGTCAATCATGCACATACAATCTTTTTGTACAAGCATACTTGAGCATCTGCATGCTTGTACAAGTCGCGCTGGTACAAGCAAATCTGAACGTGTGTACGCACGTCGCGATATGCGTACAGTACGCGTCGTACAGCTAATCAGAACAATCAGTAATAAACTGTGATTAAACGTGATTACGTCTTGTTTTGTTTTGTGGAGAAATTATAGTTTGTGGTTTGTAATTTAAAAAAAATATTACATAAAGATGACTTCAGATATACGAAAAGGGCATAGAGAACTTCTTGAAGATTTTATTCGTGCTTACCAAGGACAACCATGTTTATGGCGGTGTTACGTGCCAATCGTTTGATCCGTTAATTCAGTTCAACGTCTTAGTCAACTTTTGATTGGAAGTGTAGTCAGGAATAATTAAGACTTTTTTTAAATAATTAAATTTATTTAAATCATAAAATTATCCTAACTACAATTTTGTAAATATTATTGGTAGAAATTATCTAAGTCCTAACAATTGTAACTTATAAAAATGATTGAAATATTTCTAAGTCCAGACCATAACATACACTGACGTGAAGGTGCTCAGTGCAGCATAGCCAAAACTCGACTGATTTGCCCTTGTTTTCGGGTCCCTTTTATATGTGATATCTGTATGTGTGTGTGTAAATGAAAACTGATAGTAAAATAATTAAAATAAGATAATTTCCTGTTAATTATGAATGTGTGTGCGTTATCACCGGACCGTGACATAATTATTGACGCAAATGCCCAGGATGTGGTCGTTATTATTTGGATTAACTATTTATTTTAATTTCCCATAAGAACGTTTATGTGAATTCTTTCACTTGTCCACGCTTGTGGTTTCGATATTCTAATTTCTTATTGTAATCTCTAGTCAGGCCCACCACTAGCCGGCTTGGGAAGCTAGAATAGTGGTAGGGGCCAAAAACCCCGAGTTGACCCACCGACGTCAACCAAAAACCCAGTCGGTACCACGGGAGGGGGAGCCCCACCGCACGCCGG